ATGTCCGTGTCGGCACTTCGTCTGTGTGAAGAAGTACACTAGTTAGGCACTTCATGCAGTTGACACCAAAGTTTTAGCTATCAACTAACGAACAATTTAGGCTTATATCTTTCACTGTTGGTTTTTACTGAATTTTAAACAATAAAACGACTTTTTACTGTAACTTCCGTCTGATGACATCATCGGCCCCAAACTTCACGTATGTATTGAATGAATAAATATCATCTTATTCACCAATTTCAGGCGATTCCAAAAAACTTTGCCACAGACATCTATTCAAAATTCATTTTTCAGAATTTTCAACCTGTCGCTAGAGGGCGCTCAACAATTGCATGACGTCATCAGTAAAAGTTTTCAAGAGTTGAAATTAAGTTGTTACCTACTACCAGTTTTAAACAATAAGCCCACTTCCAGCTTCGATCTGAAGGAGGGGTTACGTGATTTGACCCACAGGAGATGAATTAGAGACTGTTCCAAATATTATACTCGGCCACTTGCCGCAAACAGAATGTTGCAGGAGCCCTAGGTTGATTTTATATGGATTTTAAAGATTGTACATAATATTGAAATATTCCAGATTTAATAATAAATCACTTGATGACGTCATCATGGCTTATTATTATAGAACTGTATGTACAAAACAAAGGGGATTTGGGGCAGAAGAAGGAACTAGAGATACGTTGGTCAGCGGGAAAACGCGCTGTTTCGGCTTTCGGATAAACAGTCTCTGCGCACGTTACTGTAATGTAAAGTATATAAGCATTATAGGGAATTTTCATCGAACTACCAAGCTGAAGTTAATGAACAAACAAACATGTGTACAGATCCTACCGTATGGAGAAGAACTGCGCCCTTAATCATATGTCACATGACCCATGATAATATCATCACGATTTCATTATGTTAGGTTGATTTGTGCTCAGTCTTGTCAGTCGTCATCATGTAATGTCAAATTTGTCTAAAACCATTCGCTTTCTAGCTATTCTAGCTAGCAAGTTTCAACTCAATCTGACATGTACTTCATGAGATATAGTGCTTTAAAAAGTGCATATTTAATGTCATGTGACTTGTCACATATAACGTCATCATCATTAACACATTATTAACACTTCGCTTTCTAGATACCCTCCAGGTTTCAACCATGTACTCCATGAAATATAAGGCTTTAAAGTTTGCGCCTTTATTGCCATGTCGGGTGACACCTGATGACATCATTATGACGATTTTGTTTTGGACCCTCTCCATAGCAGGGGACTATAGGCTTGTGAAATACCATAAGGGTACTCGGTTAGGACTTGAACCCACGACCTCCTACTACTAGTACGCAGGCACCTCTCCAAAGCAGGAGGTCAGCGGTTCGAGTCCACCCGAGTGCCCTTGTGTTTTTTTTCACAAGCCTTCGGGGGCATACACTGAGTACACAGTGTTAAAATACATGTCGGGCAGGGCAAAAAATTCAAAAACTAATTTACGTCCCCCCTGGGTGCGAATCCATCTTTGAAATAGAGTTTTTTTTATGCTTAAATACAGTTGTAAATAACTTGTTTTCTTTTAGTTTGAAAAGAACAGAACCCGTTCCAGTCATGGGTGAGTCACCCTTGTACTGTCTGATAACACGATGCCCTTGGCCGAGTGAATAGATAACGTATTGTAGCAACTATCACAGCCCTTGCTGTCGTGCAAACTCAGTTGAAGGTTCTGTTTGTATGCGAGTTCAATGAATTAAAAATATGTATGTATATATTTGCAAGTAAGACAGAGGTTTTGGAGCTTACCAGACAAAGAATGTTTGGGGAATTCCTGCTGCGGCTTCAGTACGTCTTGAACTATGACCCCCTGTAATGCCAATAAGTCATTGGCCAATCGGGGTCCAGATTTGAAACTCTTTTCTCCAACATTGGATGGTCACATTCGTATTTCAAAAGGTTGAAATGCCTGTGTTTATGCCTTGAAATTTCTGGAAATTGTTTCCCATTGTATCTGCCGACCACATAATTGTCATAACTTCGGCAAGGTATTTCCGGTTTGGGCGCGTCATGGTGGCAGGGAAAATCAATCACGCGTCGAGTTTGCGGAAGTGGGTCCGAATGTGGATGCCTTTATACCGCGTAAAATGGTCAACTCGAGCGAGGCCGGTCATTTTGGGGAAATTTGTCGTTGTTTCTCACCTTTTTCTTGGCCGATTTTGGTCCATTGCTCCGCGGTTTTAGTTTGTATAGTCCAAGACCGCTTTGATTTCTTGACTACTGTAGTCCACGAAATCCAAAGACAATTTATGATTCACTGGTTCACTGATATAGATTTTCTCACAAAATAAAGGCACTAATTGTTAGGGTGGGCTCATTAGACGTTGGGGACTTTTTCCATAGACTGTTTTCCGTCGGGATTCCGTAATGTCTTCCAGTCCTCTCATTGGTTGGAAATGTTTGAGCAGTCAGGTCAAATTCTCTCATACCCTTGTGCGCGTGACACATGGAAGCTAAATGTGTACTTGTACCTTGTACCCTGGTATTGACCTCCAGTGCGAATATGAGAGGTCGTAGGCCGTGTCCGATTCACTTGGCTTCGCCGAAAATTACCCACAACTCTATGGGAACTGGCCGCGGCCACTATAATAGACTCGTGTGTAATTTCAAGCCGCAGCCAATAATTCGGACGCGATATACGCTCTACATGAGACTGATATACCCTGGTTGCTAATTGGACATTGGATGTAGACGTTCACAAAAGGTTGACTGGTCGTGGTCCACATATCCATTGATTCAACGGACTGTCGCATGATTTTTTGTCCTGACATTCATTAAGACAGGAAACAAGTTACACAGTGGTTCATTATTTTGCCTTTATGGTGTGAATTGAAGTTGAGGAAATCACAGGATTATTCCAGCTTCGAAAATGGATTACTTGTATAGCTGTGTCTTCGGCCTGGCATGTTTCTTCGTGTGTTTGGAGATAGTCTGTCTTTACCTATTCCATTTCATGGCAATTATCTACATGTAAGTATAACCTGGCAAACGATTTGCTTGAATAACCCTATACCAAAAGCGGCTCTTCAATTTTACGTTTTAAACATGTCCTGCAATTTATTTTACCACAGTTTTGTTTGGAAATAACTTCAAGTGAAATTTCCCTTCTGAAGAGAAATTTTGTTCATTTACGTTTGCTGTAAATGGATAATTTAAAACTGAAGTGAAACTATGGAAAGTTGAAGTCTTTTTAGTATACCGGTAGGTTTCAGCCTGTGAAAATGGTTCGTTACACATTTCCCGTCATTTGTGAATATACGTGAGCCTATTTTCTGAAATAATAACACACCCGGTATTCGTTTTAATCAGTCGTTCTGTTGGTAAACCCGTGTACATTACGCCGAGTTCAGGGCTAACGTAGAGGACACTTCGACTTAGTTTAAGTACCTACAGTAGGATTTTGTTTTATTCGTCAACTAGTGTTTAAATTCAGCTTCTTCAAAATGAAAATAGTTAGTGGTGAATATTGTAAAAAATTGAATTCTTTTGACAATTTTTACAGCGCACAATATTTATCCGCATGACATGTCGAGACAATTAAAATTTGCAAGTTCTTTTTTTTATTTTATTTTACTTTTACGTATAATACAGCTCAGTCTGTAGACCTGATGTTTAGATAGCAAGGGTCTGGTAATTATGCCCATTTTCTTGCAATTATTAATGTAAGATAACCATCGCTTCTTTTTCTCCAAATTTTATTAACCAAACAGCAGGCTTTTATCATTAACGTACGTAACTCTGCCATTGCCGACGAGCACTGATCTACATTATTTTCCCGTAACTAGGTCGCCACAAGACGAATGTACCGTATGTTGCGTTTATCCTTGTAAGTCGAACTGATTGCAGTATTTTGTACTTCTGCCATCGTTCAAATTGATGAGTTCTGAAAGGTCTTCAAGCCTATGGAAAAGCATTCCAAATCTTAATCACACTGCTCTACCCCGTGATAACGGCCGCCATTTTAGTGCCATTGGTCGACACCACCCGGTGAAGCTGAAACCACGTTTTCGCCCCACGAAGAATAAATCGGCTCTGATTGGCTGGCGCGAGGGGTTGCGGAAAAAAGGTGCGCGCACAGCGTATGCGTGCTTGCTTGGCCGTGGATGAACAATTACAGCGAATGATACTCACAAGAAGGTTTTGGCCACCTGCAAATCGAACGTCTTGCAGCGCCAACCTTTTATTTTGGAAGTCTACGATGTGTAGTGAAGCCCAGCGTGTGCATGCGCAAGAAAGCTGTCGAACGTGCAGCAATTTTATGAAATAGAATTGATTCAAATGTTGTACCGAAATAAGTTGATCAAAAAATTATTATAGACGTTGTACCAAAACGCATTTCAAATTGTTTATACATGTATTTGAACGATTTTTAGTGTTGTTTATTTGACAATAGTAGACATGTTGATATTGCCATAGATTTAATGTGAAGCCAGGGAGTGCAACAATTTTACCATAGATCTTTATGATTTATGCATCGTGTTCCAGTAACCATGGCAATTGGAGAATTGAAGTCGAGGGATTAAATATCAAGCCCTGATTAAAATTTAATAATAATACTCATAATAATAACTCAATTTTTCAGATAACAACTCGCAGCCTACAACCCTTGCACTTAACCAAAAATAGGCCCAACAAAAGTACAGCACGTATAGTCCCATACTGGACTCCATTTTGTTTTAATGGATAAATGCTAATTTTCACTTATGTGGCGGAGTACAATTAAGACCATTTTCCCTCATTTTATAGCATATTCGCTGACAAAAATGGAATTCTGAATGAAGAGGGTTTTCTGCAACTATAGGAAGTTTTCACTCTGGGTGTTGGGGCAAATTAATGATCAGCACGAGTGACATTACTAGGATGATTTGTGTTTGAATTCCTAAATAAAAAACCTGAAAATTACCCATTGGGGTAGAGGCTGATCCATGGAAGATCCTAAGTGTAATGCAAAAGTTGCTCCAGTAACTGACGGTCCATACTGGAAACGGAGTGAATGATGATCTCTCATGTCGATTTATTGTGTCAATAACTTAGTGGTGATCCCGCGGACTCAAAACACAAAAATTGCGCCTTTTTAAAAACATTTTGTGCATTATCTTGGGAACCGTTTGATACCTCACTTTGGTTCATTCGGGATATGAAAATTGAGAATCTCAGCCAAGAAACATGTGTTTTCCAGTTCTAATGACCATGAAACAAGCCCGTCAAAATCGGGTTGAAAAGCACTGAAATCTTTTATTGTGTGCGCCGCCCCGATTTTCTCGCTGTTTTGAGAACGTGGGGCACCGTGTTCAACGCCATATCTCACGAACTTCACATTCTTTCATAAAGGTTCAAGCAGGGTTAGGAAGCTTATAATATTTCCTGCAATTCAAACGCAACAAAGGACAGTGCTTAGGTCCGTCAAATTTGAGATTCAATAAATAAGTCTGTTTTAGAGACCCAAGGCATTTCACGTAGTATGCACGGCTACCGGGGTCGTCTTGCTGTGGTCTTAGCAACGAATTGCTTTCACGGTAAGATCATGATTTACAGCCTTTTCTCCACTAATTTTTGTACTAATGTTAAGCTGAAGTTCTATAGATGGCAGACACGAAGTTTTTAGTGTGTTTATTGAAGTTTCATCTATGAAATATTATACGTCTTAAGTTTCATTAATCACGTGAAACTTCGAGAGTGTACGTGTAACAGGGAGCTGTGTGAATCGGAAGATACCATTATTTTAATGGGGACGCGAGCTGTGTATTTAAGTGTACATGGATTGGGGGCTCCGATAATGGTTGCCTTTGGAGCCTGTGAATGGAGCGTCAAAAGTGGACAACGCCATTTTCTGATTTTCTGCCAGTAGATTTTCGAGATTTGGGAATTTACGTAAAGCGTTTTCAAAAACTCAATTTTTTTTGCCAGCAAAAAATTGGGATTTTACTTTAACAAGTCTCTTGGCACGTCAAAAGTGGATAACTAAAAACTTAAAAATTCCAACTAGCAAATTTTATTTGATGCTCCAAAAAGAAGGCAACCCCATTTTTTTTCATTTTCTGCCGGTAGATTTTCTGCTAGCAGAAATTTGGATTTTTGTTTGACGACGGCGGGGTGATCCAAAAGTGGACAAGTTGAAAACTGAAAAGACTGCAGCGTTCCCTACACTCAGAAGGGAACGGTCTTAGAAAGATGGGCAGTTAACATTAACGGTAGAGGGTCAATGGTCTGACGGATGGCGTCACAGCTCGAAAAAAAAATGTCGACAATTCCTGTATATCCTGAAGTTTGACCCCTTATGGCGCGCTTCCGGAACCCTTAGATAGGAAAAATAACGTGCAACAATTTTAGAATTTGTAATATTTTTTTCGTTCAGTTATTTCTTTAAAAGTCCAACTCGGAAATGGGGCTTTGGAAAACATTTGCTAGTATATCAATTTATAGAAATCACCTGACCTAGAAGCCAAAAATTGACCCATCACTTCCGAAATCAAAAAATACATGAAGAACAGTGCAATGAGGCAGACTCGTTTGAAATTTTATGGTAGTCGGTCGGTAAAAACCGAAATAAAAAACAGATCAAATATTTTAAATAGTCTTTTAATTTATAAGTAATACTCTGAAACAACATTTTTGTTCAATTACAAAAGATTCTAATCTTATATCTAACCTTTGCTGGCAACAACTGCGTAATGTCAACTCAACGGAATCTAAAACCCATCGACTACAAGGAGGTAAATCTTTCCAACGGTGTACAATCTCGTTTTCACAGGCAGTGTTAACAAACCATTTTGTCCATGTCCAGTAGTATAATCGAATTTGTTGTGGAACGAAAAAAGGTTTGAATTGAAAAAAGTGATGTGAAGAGAAGAAGCTAAGTGCTGTTTAATCAAGCGAACCAAGAGGTTCAAAAGGGGGAAAATAGAGGAAGTAAAAATGGTAAACATTAAAATGTTGCTGAATTAATTTTGACACCCCACAAATTCCAAAACACGTAATCAGTCAATAATAATTATTCCAATCACAAAAAGATAGCCACGATGAAAATAATTCTTTCAGCCAGTACACCAGTCGGTCACTGATATGACATCAAAGATTTAATTTAATATTTATCATTCAAATTTTTGTTCAAGTCATCAAATGCAAATGGGCAGTTATTTTGGAGGCCTGTGTCATTGATGTTAACACAAATGATTCAAAGTGACCTGAGGAGATATTACTGCAATAAAAATAAAAACTTGCAAATGATGGCCCAGAGCAGTCATCAGATACGTGAAACTGCATGGATGGTGGATTGGTATAACAAGTCTTATATCTGAATATAAAAAAAATGGTTGTTCACTTTAAGCACATCGAGTAACTTCCACCATAATCAGTTAATAATTTTCGTCAATCTTGGACATAATGTGTTCAATAATTTCCTTATTAATAATACTCCCCTCTAAACTCCCATAAAATTCACATGCTTGACGTGAAAAAGGCCGAATCTTTTTCACAAAATTAGCTATATAAAAATGGCAATACAAGTTGCATGAAGCCAAACACAACAAGGGAATGTCCAAATGACGCCTGATGCCCGTCAATGGACGGCGGGTCAATAAAATGGGCTGGCTCTACGTTTGCGGTACTCAAGGACACAGAAAGCCCATCACTCTGGCAGCCGTTTTGCAACTTTCGTCGACCTTATTTTTTTGGGGGTCTGGTGATGCCAATCTTCCTGAGACCGTTCCACTTCAACGTAGGGATAATATGTTCTATTCGGGGATTTTCAACTTGTACACAAAATTTGACCACTCCGCCGTCGTAAAATCCAAATTTCTGCCACACAAACTTAGGTTGTTTTTTTAAAGGAATGGTGCAACTTCCAAAAAACCAAAAATCTACAGGCAAAAAGTGGGATTGTCCTCTTTAGAAGCATCAAATAAAATTTGCTAGCGGAAATTTGAAGTTTTTAGTCGTCCATTTTTGACACGCTACGAAGACTTCTTAAA